CTCTTTCCTATCTTGAGATCTGTAATGAGAACACTTAAAGCAAAAGCATACAATCAGGAAACAGGGCTGAAAGTCAGAACACTAACGGAGTTTCAGATTTGTGGCTCTAAGACATGGATTCTTTTGCTCACTGGATCCAGACCCCACACGTTTTGGAAGAAAAGCAACAGCCAGAAGATGAGAAAAACAGTTCATGTTTATGAGACCAGCCTGAAGCCCATACCACACTTACGAGTTTGGGTTTTCATTCGGCAAAGAAACTAGCTGTTCTTTTTCAAGTTCATCGGAAAATATGCCCATTAGTCTGACTCTTCGGCTTTAAGATCACTGTCTTGGAACCTTCTAAACCAGTAAGTGAAAGATCTCACTTAAAGATTTCATTTTAAACATAGAAGTTAGGAAAATGTACCCGACATTTGCCAAAGTAATGCAATAAAAGAAGTAACAAAGAAAAACTGGGTAAAAAATGAAGTATGGCTACCCAACCCCCAATCCCTCTGGTTTAATTTTTGCAATAGCTTGGGTAACCCTAGTTTCCTGAGAACAGTTCGTTTAAAGAACCCCTGCAGGTGGGACATTTCAAGTAGCAAGTCACAGAGAAAAGCCTTTGACCACCTCCTATTTCTCACGACGTGATGTTCTGTAAGGTGTGACACATGGCAGCACAACCACTTCCCTGGCTTCATGGAAGGACAAAACACATGGACCACACTCTATCTTGCATCCTTCCCCAGTCCTGGTTGATGATGAAATTTCAGGTGAAGGCCCAACATTTCACCATACAGGTTGGGGATCCCTGGGGTCATGCTCATTTACAACTGCCCAAGTCATGGCCTGGTGTCTGACCCAAACACAGGGTACAGAGCAGCAGCGGAAACTGAGCACTTCCTAGATCCATGAACACACCTAGTTGGCTTTGGGTCTGCACTGGGGTTAATCCCCCAGATACTACAACCATATAAGTGTTAAAAGAAAACATGCTGCATTTTAGAGCATGTTTATTTCTGCAAGTGCTCCAGTGTTTAATTATGCTAAAGTCATTTGGGGTTTTTGACACAGATTTTATTTTAGTACAATAAACTCAGTATAAGCAGCATGGCCAAAAATGAATTCCTAAGGTAGATGACTAAAATAAACCAGTAATAAATATTGGCTGTTGGAATGGGAATTATATCTCTGTAATGTAGACACAGCATTACTGACTCATTTTCAAATACCAGTCTCTCCCAAGGATTATTGGTATGAGGGATCAAGGAAGAAAGAAGTCCATCTCTCTTTTAGGCAGCAGAATGGAAGGAGACTATGAATCTACCAGGCAAGGGTGTTTTTAAATCTACTTTACCAACAGAGATATAGCCCTGGAGTCTGACAGGGGGTCAACTTAGGCTGCACTGAGGCAGAAATAAGGCATTGAAAGAAACCATCCTAAGAGTTGAGAGAGCTGATTCTGGGGACATTTTTCTCTCATTCCCCTGGAGGCAGAATGTACCCCCAGACCCACCCAGTGCATATCATGTGGCACGAATTACCTTATCAGTCACAGTGGGTACTGCCATGTTCCTTTGCTGCTTGGAATTAGTGGACTCTTTGAGGCCACCTTTACTCCATAATGTCAAATCTTGAACTTTTGGCCCGCTAGGTTGAGCTGTACAACTTCTCTGGTGTACCAGAAAGCTGTCAGGGGCAAAGGTCCGGCTACAATTTGGGTAGGGTACGAGCTGAGCTTGACTCGGCCCCTCTTGGTTGGACTGTCCAGTTGGAAGGGGCTGAGGCTTCTGTGGTAGTGGCTGGCAGAACTCCCTGGGGAGCAGGTCATTTTCTATTTTCCACTTTTCCAGGCATTTGGGCTGATGTATAGGAAGGGACAGAGTGCCAAATTCCCTACCACAGACGTAGCAGATGAGAGCCCTTGGTCGGGTTGGGATGCCACCAGAAGCTTTCTTGAGAGCAGCAAGATTATCAGAACTGTTGGGGTTTGGTGCCCTGGGCCCCTCACCCTTCGGCTTGCAGCTTCTCTGATGAACAAGAAGCTGATCTGGCAAGAACTTGCAACCACAGGATTCACAGGGCAGCAGCTGAGCCTGGGAACTCTGGAATGCTGCCTGAAGATTGTAGGATCCACTTCCACTGAGAGGCAGTGGTTTGGAAGGTTCTGGCCTCCTCAGGTGCTTGGGCAACTTGCTGTTTTCAGTACGCCACTTCTCCAAGCACTGGGGCTTGTGAATGCCAAGCGATTGGGACCCAAATTCTCGGCCACAGATATGGCACACCTGGAACCCGGGCCTGCGGGATGGGATCACAGGGGGGCTGGGCTGACTTTCCGACATAATCCTCCTACTGGACCATTTTAGGAGTATTACAGTTCCAGGTCTATTTTTCTGAGGGTCTGTCTTTATTTTTTCACCAGGATTGACATGCTCAATTTCTGGCAAAAAGCTAGAATGGGATGCACTAGATAGAACAGCTTGGTTTACAAGGAAGGTAGGCTCTTTAGAATGGTGGAAAGACTGTTGCAACGTGTTGGAAACCGTTTTCTCCTTTCCTCTTTCCATTAACAAAGAAGTCTTTCTCTAGTGCTTGCTCTGATTTCAGGCCAGACATATTTTGGGCTTCTGCTTAGAGAGAAGGTTAGTCAGGTTGGCTGTTCTGGGGTTCCACATTGTAGCCAGTACCTTAGACCCAAAGACAGTGACTCAGAGCTTCATTGCAAGGCAGCAGTCTGGAATGCTGGAAAGTCCCCATGAAACCTCAGATGCCTCCAAGATCTTCAGGGGAAACATAAATCAAGAAGTTATTACATACACACACACACACACACACACACACAGACACACACTTAGATTTTAAGTTGATAAAGAACAGTGACTTTTTTTTTTTGACCTAGTATCCTCTTTGGCTAGCATAGTAACTAGCACTTAGGATTTGTTCAGTAAATGTTGAAATAAGTACAAAAAAAAATTCCATTATGAATTGCACTGTTACTGTGTTGAAAGTAGTGTTCTGCCCAAAGGAAGATGAACATTAAGAGCACATCACAGACATATATGGCACAAACCAAGAGGCATGGTGGTGAGATCATGGAGGAGAGAAGCAAGGCCTCTGAAAATTAGATTAATGAAACTGTAGATCATGTAAAAAGACCTCCTTCCACTACCTTAGGGATTCTTTTTAGTGCCATGGATTCCTTTGTCAGTTCTTTGAAGCCTAGGGACCTCTTCCCAGAATAATAATTTTAAAAGCAAAAAATAAAATTCTTACTAGTACAAGTGAAACTAATTTTATCGAAATAATTTATCAAATATTTTTAGTTGTGATTTATCTTTTACTTGAGCTATAGTAATATGCTAGAATTTTTGAGTGTCCATGGGCCTAGGGTTAAGAACCGGCAGAAGAAGTAATTCAATAGTGAATAGGAGGATTATCAGGGAAACCATCAGAGAGTGGTAAACTTCTTGTAACTTAGCAGGTATCTACTCTTCTTCATCATGGGACGGGAGTGTTATTAAATTGTGGCCGTAACAGTCAAGCCAAGGATGCAACCCAGGGCTATACTCTTCCTGGTAGTATATCTGTACATCTTTCCTGGGATGAAGATGCTCAGACTTCACTTGATGCTCTTTTTATAGCTATCGTGTTCATGTTCTTGTTTTATATAGATATATCTCTATATAGATATTAGCTATCTATCTATGTATCTTCAAAATACCTTTTGTAAAAAAACATGGCCAACAATTTTATTAAACCAGAAGAAAGGGCTGATAAGATCTCATTATGGTCAGAAGCCAAAGGATTTTTTACTTTGGGTAAAGGCATGAGTCAGTTTTATCCCAGGTCTACAATCTAGCTCAAGAAAGGTAATTATCAAAAGTCTTAGGACGTTCTTCATTTCCTGAAGGATGACCTCACTCTGGATTAGAGGCTCCTATTCACAGAGGGAGAAGCACCTGATCTGAGGCTGGACCCTGCAGACCACAGCAGACACGGCTTCAGGCACAGCAAGGACAGCCGTGCTGGTAATATCAAAACACTGCTTGGGCATTGCGATTGATAAGGGAAAAAAAGAGCTGTGAGATATGCACCCAGTTCCCGTATTTTGGTGCCAAGAAAGGTCTAAATCTTCGCAATTAAGGCTATCAAATCAGGTCTGGCACAGAAAAGGAAGTTATTCTTCATTTTGACAGATCCTAGGACAGTGATATTAACACATGTGACAAAAGAATGTGTTGGCCCCAAACAGAATGACCAACACAGAAAATGAAGCTTGAAAAAACAAAATTTATCACTTGATCATCACCATCCAAAGAGAAAATGGCTCTAGAGAACACAAAGAATCCAGTAAAATTATTTCATCAGGTTTTAAACAGCACATGACTGAAATAATCCTCCAAACCACTCTGCTTTTTTGGTTCTGATTTCTTGTTCACCAAGGATCTCCTGATTCAGTTTCCCATTTTCCTTGATACCAGGAAGTTGCAGACAGCAAAAGTACTTAAGGAGACAGATTGGAAAAATCAATGCGATCAAATGAGCTTATTTCCCTAGTCTTGCTTGCAGTCTCCCCCCCTCCCCACACTGCTCCCTGGAGATGAGAATTCTGAGAAAGCCCCATGACTTGCTCCAACACCTCCTGCATCTCTCCCTAATCATAAAGTAAGAGAACTGATATTTACTGAGTGCCAACTATGCATCAGATATTGTACTAATTTTTATTTACATAATTTCATTTAATTCTCAAATGATTATGAGGCAGGTATTATTATTTTCTTTTTACAAATGAAGAAACTGTGACTCAGAAAAGACAAGTAACTTGCCCAAGACAGTCAGTTTCTAAATGACAGAACTGGGAATCAATTCCAGCTCTCTTTGGCTCCAATGCTCGACTCTTTCCATTATTCATTCTGCCTAAAATTCCACCGGCAGAGCTTCTTCTCTTAAGTTTTTTTATCCCTGTTTTAATGTATGATTCATATGCCCCATGGGGAGGTAACTAAGCTCTCACCTGCTTTTATGCTCCCTTTTAGAAGAAGGAAGAGGTGAAAGGGACGAGGGGAATAGGGCACAGAAGAAGAGAAATCTCCAAGATGGAAAAAGCAGGTGAGAAACTGAGGTTACTGAAGACAGCGTTTTTTTTTAAGCGATAGGGGTCATTTTATTTTGCTGTGAATGGTTTTCTAGACGAAGTTTTTCCCTGTGTGGTGTGCAATACATAATCCTTTCCTGATCTCACCAATATCCTTAATAAAAATCTATACTACTAGCTTCAGGTGGTGGGTGAGGGGAATTGGCTGCAGGGTGAAAGTGAAGGCTTCCCAAAGAGGTCAGACGCATTCAGTTTGCAGCCCTGTCACTATTTTGATTAGGGATGGATCTTTGTGCATGCAGGTGCTTGTGCACTACAAATATTTTCTCTGCATCAAAAATGACAAAGCATCATAAAATTCCCATTGAATCTTCATCTTTTCTTTTTTACTCATCCTTTTTCTTCCTCCAGTGTCCTCCTGAAAATTGTCTTATTGTGATTAAATGTATCTATGTATGGAAGATGAGGTAGCTAGAAGTGAGTGAAGTTTTGGGGAACTGGAGAAATTTATGATGTTTCTGCCAGTGATTCTGCTAAGGCAATGTGACAAGGCACAGCACAGTCAGCTGCTCTATCCTATAAGTTAGTTCTAAAAGCGAGAGTGCTGGAAAATACTAAATACATATACTTAAATCACTTAAGAATTTGGCCTGTCACCCAGATACATCATAAAGCAATGTTGCTAGTTTATAAAGAGAACCACTTTGCAAAGCCAGCCAGTTTCACCCTGAGCATCCATGGAGAAATGTTCACTCCAACTGGCCTGAATTATTCATTTTGACCATATTTGCAAATAGACTGTTTAAAGAATGTCTTGGAAGGGATCATGTTTTATCAATATGATGCCATTTTTCCATGCCCTTTGGTGTTCATGGGAAGGGAGAGACAAACTCACAAAGATGAATATAATAACCATGAAAATCCAAAACTCATCTTAGCATTAGGAGGTGTTTCTCTATAAAAGAGGGGGAAGAACACAAGCAGAAGTGTGATGAAGTCTTTTGAAAAATAATTTAGCTCTTTGAAACAAAATAAACATGGATACATGACCTTTTCTCTGTTAGTATAGAATCCAAATTCTTTAAATGGACAAATGAATAAATAAGAAAGGTGGAGTTGGGACTTATGCTGGCTCTGAGTAAAATTTAAAAACAGAGGAGGTTTGTCTTCAATATCCTCCATCCACCCCATTCAGTAGCCTCCCCTGCCTGGTACCCTCATATACACTCCAGTCTTCCTTATCAATGAAATCTTGCTTTCAGAAAAGAGCTGATAGACTCTTTTACACCAAGAATTATGATTGATGAGGTAATATCCCTCCCAGAGTCTGGCAGAGACAGCTAGTTCCCTACCAATAGTTACTCTGTGCAAATTCTCTCAAGTTAACAGAGCCCCACTTTCTAGCTGGGCACATGATTTCCCAGCCAAAAGTCTACAGGTTTCTTTGTAGCTAGTGGAAATATTATGTGGCACTTGTAAAAACTCCTATTGAAAAGTAGGGGACACAACCTGCTCCTCTGCCCTTCCTTCGTACTGATAACTGATGGCTGGAGCTCTAGCAGCCATCTTGGGCCAGATTACATTCGTGTAAACCTTGACATGATAGAGTAGAGATGTTGATGAACTTCAGTCCCTGATAATATTAGAGCCATCATAGGAGCTCTGGAGTGTCTTCCTTGGGCCTTATTTACATAAGAGAAATAAATGTTAATTTGTATCTTAGCCAATTTTTAAGAGTCTTTTACTCACATAAAAACCTAACACTGAGTTATAGGTTAATAGTTGTCATTATCTAGGCACAAAATGAATTCTAATAGTGACATTTCAAATTTCAGGACCTTTTTTTGATGAGGAAAAAAATTGAGAGGTTTTATGAGGCAAAATTGACTTATTAAATATACACTTTTTCCTAAAAATCAGAAATAAAAAAGCTTGAAACTTTAAATACTGAGCCAATGGTTCTTAAGAAACTGATTCACAATACCTCCTTTCCTGGAATTTATTTTTTTTAAGAAAAAAATTAATTGACATTTTGCTTCAGAAGGATAGAATCCTATTTTTTTCCATGAGATTTTGAAAGAGCTAGGAGGCATCATTGTTGTGCCAGTTATTAATGCATTGTCTCTGTATTCCATACTCTCTTTCCTATATCCATCTTTGTGATGCTGGCACTGAGACTCTGCACACCCCATTTCTGCTTTGCCAGCCAGCCTTGCATTATGATTTACCAATACTGGTAATGGGGGGAAAATGTGAGGTTAGAGGAGAGAGAAGACTTGTGTCTTTTTAAAGGGTTTCCTGCCTGCTTTTGTTTCTTGTAAGTATCACCTCAGCAATACTTCTTTATCTCAGCAAAAGCAGTTCTTTCCTGTAGCAGTAGCTGAAACCAGTTTACAGTTTTTGCAACATTTGCAGATCAGATTGATTTCCCCTCCCCCAGCAGACAGCACCATCAGCCAGTCTGCTCTTCCTCTTTGGAAATCAGATTTTCAGCTCCATAGGGTGCTTCTTCTAAGTTGCTAAGTCATAATAATTCAAACCTTTTCCCTCTGATCCTTCAGCCCTAGGAATGGTAGCTGCCACCTCCCTTATACAATAGTTCTCTTTTTACTTTGCTAGTTACCTAGGTAACAACTTCATTCCTGTTTAACAACTCTTTATATTCTCTCTGTTTAAATAACTGGT